AATTTTCATGAACTTTGTCACACAAAAAATTTCTGTGTTCTCAGAGAAATTTCTTAGAACACAGAAATTTTTTGACAAACTTCATGAACATTTCTGTGTTCACAGAAATTTCTGTGTTCTAAGAAATTTCTCTGAGAACATAGAAATTTTTTGTGTGACAAAGTTCATGAAAATTCCTGATTTCACAGAAATGTTCATGAACTTTTTTTGTTTTTTGAAATTTGTCACAAAAAAATTTCTGTGTTCTCAGAAAAATTTCTCATAACACAGAAATTTTTGTGTGTGACAAATTTCATGAAAATTTCTATGGTCTAAAAAATGTGTCATGAAATTTGTTAACAAATTTCTGGGTTCTTAGAATTTTTTCTGAGAACCCAGAAATTATTTTATTTGACAAATTTCATGAACATTTTTGTGTTCTAAAAAATTTCTGAGACAATTGTCTGAGACAATTTTTTAGAACACAAAAGTTTTTATGAAATGTTTCAAATAAAAAATTTCTGGGTTCTCAGGAAAAATTCTCAGAACACAGAATTTTGTTTTGTTTTTTCACATGAAAAAATTTCTGTGTTCTGAGACAATCGTCTCAGAACACAGCAATTTTTTAGAACACAGAAATTTGTTGTGAAATTTGTTCACAAATTTCATGAAAATTTCTATGTTCTGAGACAATTGTCTCAGAACACAAAAATTTTTTCATGTGACAAATTAGGTTACTGAGACAATTGTCTGTGTTCTGAGACAATTGTCTCAAAACACAGAAATGTCTGTAGTCTGAAAAGTTTCTGTGTTATCTGAGACGATTGTTGCAGAATACAGAAATTTTTTTGTACTACTGTGCAAACAAAAAAAACTTGTTCGTAATAAAAAGTTTGTACTACGAAGAAGGGTGTGTATTCACCCTTGTTCGTAGTACGAATTTTGTTCGTACTGTGAGGGTTAAAAAAATGGATTTATGGGGAAAAAAACGTTCGTTCTGTGGAACGTTTGTTTTGTGAGGTGTTGGTTCTGTGAGGTACCACTGTATTAGAAATATTTTTGGACATGTGCATTTAAACCCAAAAAGAAATATAACAACATTAAACTATGGTGTTAGTCACCCTGGCCACAGCTCGGCTGATTGTTGTGTTTTATTCCATCAAATAACTTTTATTTCTCACAAAAGTGGTAGCAGAGCATGGTTTCACGTCTCTAAATGAAGTTTCTTTATTTCTGAAAATGAGGTGAAAGGTTTTGGAAAGGAAAATATCTATCTAGCAATTCTTCTAAATTCTTGAACAGTGTGGTGAATATTTCTCTAAAAAAGTCTGAGCTGGTTTACCCAAGTGGGGAAATTGGTGCACACTAGGGATTTTTTTGTAATTCTACACAGTGACCCTGCTGTGCACCTGAAGTGTACCAACATTCTTCTGTTGCACATGCATATCCCCAATGTGCATCAATTGAGTGTTCACACCAGGATTACTCAGGGACATATTTGTAAACAAATAAGTTACAACAAGGTTACACTTGGTGCACAAGTGTGGAATAACAGGAGCATCACACAAATGCATTGGTGCACAAATGTGGAATAACAGGAGCATCACACAAATGCACCAACTGTAACCTTGGAATGGTAGCAAAATTTCCTCTACAGGAGTGCACACTTGTACCCCCAGAATATCACATATGCTTCAGTTGTGACCCTGGTGTGCACCTACTGTGGGGTCACAGCAAAAATAGCTCCCNCCCTGGTGTGCACCTACTGTGGGGTCACAGCAAAAATAGCTCCCCACTTGGGTTTTTTTATCCACTTTCAATTCTCTAAATCATGTCTCTTTTCTCATCAAGAGTGATGAGTTTCTTTTTTTGCCACTCTTGCTGGGCATATTAACCTTTTTCTCTCTGCAAAACAGGCAATATATTACAACTAAGAACTCAAAAACTCAACACATTCAATCAAAAAATATAAAGATGTTTTTCACTCAATAAATTTAGGTATAGAAGCAAGGGGATACACGAGGGATGCATGTCCAACTGCTGTGCACACTGTAATGGATGGAAGTCCGTTAGGCGTATTCAGTCCGTTATGCGGGGAACGTCATCCAGAGGTGGTCCCTTGGGCAAAAATCCGTACGGCGAGAGGTCCGTTAGGCGGGGCGCCTCGTGCGCGCTATATATCAAGACACCGCGTGGGTTTTGCTTCAATAATTATCCTGTATTCCCAAGAAGGCTGTGGTTTGAGGACAAAAACAAGCGGATTACTTTAACTTCACTGACTCATGCGTCATTCTGCGTTTTTCTTCAGTGCGCATGCAAAAAACACGGTTTTTGTGCCAAAGAGCTTTCGTCGTCGGGAAAGAACGCGTGTTAGCGACACGGCGGGTTGGAGTTGCGACGAAGAATAAGAGAAAAGAGTTTTCTTCGCCAATGCAATTTATGACACTATATATATATACACACACGCAATCATGTTATTGCTCTTCAAAGGTGTCCAATAACGTACAGTACAGTATTTTCATGCTTGACATCGATACGGTTTAGCAACTGCGAATCACTCCAAAGTCCAGACGAATATAAGGATTAATTTTCGAAGCCAGCAGCAGTGCAGCTGATAACATTGATATGGTGACATGAACACTCAAAAAATCCTCATCAAGTACTTCTCGACCTCTGATAATGGTCATGCATGTATATTACGGCTGACTGTGACAAGTAATGTAGACGAATGTATCAACGAAGATGAGTAGCATTCCGCAGAGAAGTAATTCAGATGAAAACTGTACATTCCACCTCCAATATACAGCACTGTACATGGATGCTCGTATGCATGTTCGGCAACAATTTCGTAGCGAATGTTTGCGGACGGTAAGGAAATAAGTTTTGCAGGTGATTCATAGATGTCGCGAAGGACTCAAGTTACCCCTTCAAACAATTGCAGAATTGCCGTAGCTGATGCAGTTGATCAACAACACAACCGGCTTGTGTTCCGTATTTGTTTATCCTACTGACATGAGATATCTGCAAGGAAAAATAATATAAAAACGACAGTTTTTGCTTCAGGGTCTCCAGCTTCCATCCAACTAAATAAAGATGGCGTATAGTATAGCTCACCTCGATTTTGTAAGATTTATTTTCTACATTGAAATGGGCAGTGGCTTCAAATTGACCATTTCCGGGTTCAGCTGTCAAAGAGATCTGATAAATTTCTACAGCTGGCTTCGTTGAGGCGTCAAGCTTCGCGTGGAAATGATCAGCATCCTTGGTTTTCGAAAATTGCAAAATTTCTGCAAAATGAAAAAAAAACATAGAATAAATTTGTGTCTACCTGTATTCGTATTTTACACATAATAATGTATAGAAAATACATGGAAAAACATAAATTAGGGAACAACTTTTCACTAAAAATGGTCAAGGAATCTAAAAATGAATAACCAAATTTGGATAGAAAATAATTTCAAATATTTGTATTGTACCTGTAAAATCATAGTTACATCATAGCTATCAAGAAGAGAATCAAATTTGGAAACAGTTGCAGAAATAGGTAGACAATTCAATTACAACTAAATTGATTTTAAAAACTTGAAATTGTCATGAGTGATCTATAATGACATTGTCATTTCAAATATTACGGGTGTCTTTATTAGACATTTCAAAATTAAAATTCCATAAATTAAACAATCCAACTAATCCATTTTTTTAAATCTTCAACTAAAGAGCTCCAATATTGTCAAGAAATTAGAATATAAATTTCTACTCTAGTCAAAGTAGGTAGGAAATTCAATTCTAGGAGAATGAACCCAATTTTCAACAGCTGAATTTGAAAATTGCCATTATGTTAGTAAAAAAAAAACATTCCTCAAATAAAATGTAAAGTCGAGGAATTCTTCAACAGAAAATTAGCCTTCCAGATACAATATCCACATTTTTGATCTACACAGCATAGCAGTTAGATTTCAAATTTCTTCCTATTCTTCTCTTTGCAAAAATTTCCAAAATTAAAGGTTTCTAATTACAGTTGATCTGAGTCAAATTTCTAGGGACCAGAAAACACTTTTGACTAAGGGAGGTTTCAAATTTTGGAGGTTAAGAGTCAAGAAAACAAACAGTTTTGCTGCAAGGAAAAGTGAAAATATTGCAGGATATTGCAAACCAGGATATTCTGGGCCTAAACTTGCTTCTTAATGAGTTTAAAGCTTGCAGAACTTCAAGGCAGGGGTTCACTGGTTCATTTAGCCTTTCACTTCATTTCTAGATGCATCAAATCATTTCTTTTATTTACTTTCTCTTTCATATTTCAAGGAAATAATAACCAAAAGGCCTCAGAGAATTTGACTTACAGAGATTTCAGAGAACCAGACATTGAGTTAGGGGGATTTTTAATGCATTGTTTCGCAGGGAATCCAGACAGGGACTTGAAAATTTTTTAAAAATTCAATCCAGACAGGTGCGCATCATAAGCAGGGATAATATTTTTAAAAAATACTTATCAAAACTTTGGGGCACATTCCAACCAGGAATTTTTAACAAACCTTCAATGCAAAATAAATTCTAAAAATGGAAACCATGGGAAATTGACCTTGGTAGATTTTTGAAAGGTGTTACTCCAAAAATTGGTCCACAATTTCTTCTCTTTTTTTTTCTCTCCCCCGGACGCACTCACTCGAGTTGCTAGCAAATCTGGTGGCCCACACGACTTTCGCTAGCTGCCAAATTGCGCACATGTCCTGCTCCACGCCAGGCGTGGCCCGAAACTGCGTCAATTGCTGCGCATTGTACTCGTTGATCACTTTGAGAACGGCATTCGCAACGTCTCTCGCCTGGTTCGATTCAGTTTCCAGTGGTTCCCACTGAAGGCATGCGCACCAATGGGCTTCAATGGCCGCATCCGTGCAAGTCCTGCCCCTGGGGACGCGTCTGAATAAACTGATGCCTCGGGGCATGGATCCATCATCATCTTCAATCCTGAAGGTTCCCACTGAAGGCATGCGCACCAATGGGCTTCAATGGCCGCATCCGTGCAAGTCCTGCCCCTGGGGACGCGTCTGAATAAACTGATGCCTCGGGGCATGGATCCATCATCATCTTCAATCCTGACACACACACACACAAAAAGTCGAAGTAATTAAATTGAATAATTGACGCGAACTCAGATACGTTCATAAATTACAACAGGTGTGATTGTAAGAAACGAAGAGAAAAAAAAAAACAATCAACACAGCCAATGATGTTTCAAGCTTCTAAGACGTTTTTTTTTCTTTGGATTTTTCAAAAAGTTTTTTAATTTACTCCATGATGGTGGGTGAAAACTTTCCAGTTACAGCTACCTTGTCCCCAAACTTTGACAGGTTAGCTAAAGACTGAATTTTGTTGCAGCGTTACAATTATCTAAAATTCGGAAAAGATTATGGATAAAACAAAATTTCCAATTTTTCACCTGGCCTGACACATTTTTACAAGTGTTACCTCGAAATCTTCCAAAATGAATGAATAATTTTTACTGAAAACTTTTTTTGTGATAGAATTCTTTTATTTACATTGCCATAAAAATGAAAAAAATGTGTCGCTCACAACCAATTTTTCATTTTTAAAATATTCAACCATTTTGGCAGGATTTCGAAGTAACACTTCTGAAATTGTTTTCGAAAGCAAGAGGCAACCGTTTTAATAGAAAAAAGTACAGATTTAATGTTCTTTTTTCTAGCCCAACAAATGTAAGGATTTAAAAAGGTTGACACTGTAAAAATTTGAAATTCTGAAATTTTGCACCAGCATGATTACGATGAGTTCTCGTCAATTATACATGATTGATCAAATAGTATCAGATATAACGTGACTGATACGAAATCATGGGAACATATGAGATTACCGTAAGTAAATATGAGATTACCTAAATAACATAACATTAGATAATATCAAATAAAAATAAATGATGTCAGATGAACAAAAATAATATCACATTAGTAAATATTACACAAAATCATACAAAGATGCACACTTGAGAAGTCTACGTTTGATAAAACATAAAAATTGGTGTAACATCGACAATTTTAAGGTCTTGACTTTCTGAAACATGAAAAAACTTTGGGTCAGAAAAGTCAACAATTCTACTTTTCTTCAATATTTATAATCTCACTTTTTTATTCTCAATTATTATCAGCAAATGATGAAAGATTATGCAAATGATACAAGTTATTCGGAATAAATTCATCACCGCACAGGAAACACTGAACAATTCCCACAAAAAGAACCTACGTACTTGGTATCGAAGTCCAAAGACTTGAAATGCAAAATGTCCGCCAGAGTTTCGTGAACATCGAACGGCGTTGACAATAAATCCGCATTCTCTTCAAAATTTTTCAAAGCTTTGGGATACCGAGATCTCATCCATTCCGGAAACCTGTTCATCAAGCAAAATATATCGAATCGCTCGAAACCCGCTCAGTTCTTTAAGAAAAAAAAAAAAAAAAAAGGATGCAAACCGGAAAACAAAAAAGGG